CCATACGACGCGTTGCGTTTCGCGGAGCGACGTGACGCGTTAAGTATCCGTTCGGGCTCGAATCGATGTCACCTCTCAATCCTTCGAGCGTCATCCGCTCCCATCGCGTTATATTATATATCCTTCCCTTCGTCTTCTTATGGATCGTCGTAATGTACACGTTTTACGTTCAAGCGAAGTCGCAAATAAATTTAGTAGCCGCGAAATTGCTTCTTCGGCGGATACTCGATAAGAGAGCGGGCTATCATAACGCGCTGTCTGACCATTTTATTGCAATGCTAAAGTAGGTATTGATCCGAATCCAGAAGAATCACGAACTAAGGTGCTCGACGACCATCGATCCGTCGTCGGAGAAAGAGAAGGAGGAGGAGGAGGAGGAGGAGGAGGCTGAAGGAGAAAGGGGAGGAGGGTAATCATTTTCCGTGTCCTCCTGCTCCTCCTGCTCCTTCTCTTTCCTCCACCTCCTACGGCCTCCTCTGCCACCTCCGCCTCTCCTCCTCCTCCTCCTCGTCCCTCTCTTCTCTCTTCCGTCGGTTATCCGAATTGGGTTCGAGGGGGTCTCGTAGCAAAGTTGGGGACTAGGAGAGGACACAAACACCTCCTTTCGGGTGTTGAGAAGGAGAAGGGATCGGGTAGGCCCTGGATGGCGAAGAGAGAATTGCTTTCTCTCTCGGTTTGGAATGAGAGGATGCATGAGAGATTGCTCCAGACCGTGGAGAGCGGAGCGAGGGTGCTGCCTTGGGGTTCATTATTCAGGGCTATTGATTTCCATCCACCTCCTACCATCAGCCCGCCCAACACCACCGACGACCAAGAGCGAAAGAGAGAGAGAGAGAGAGGAGGAGAAACGAGGGAGCCGGGACCAGAAAGAGATTGACGGCCGGCCGTTCTCTTTCCTTCCTTTCCTCTTTCGTTGCGTGTATCTTTTTTCTTTCGTTTGCCGCCCCGTGCTCGCCCGGTATCCCTTTCATTGTGTCCTTTGCTTGGCGGTTTTCTCTTCCTCCTGTCAATTTTTGTATCCCCGCGGAATCAATCGGCGCGTTAATTGATACGAGTTTTCAGCTAAACGCTTCGCCGGCGACTGGTCCAGGGTATTTATATTTATCGGACGCTTCCGTTTTAAACGTATCCTCGGTCTGCAACTTACGCGGGATTAGTTTCTGTTCGTCACGGTACGCTATGTTGGAAATTATGAAACCGCCGCTGCATATTCTAGTACTTTACTTCGAGACTGATAATGTATTTTATTTAACTACCAACAATTATTCAGTAATACGTTACAAATGCGATCTTCTCGTATCATGGAATAGTTTCGGGCAAGTGTGAGTGCAGACTGTCTTCTGTGGATTATTCACGTTTACTGCAAATGGAAACGTCTTGCTCGAGAGAAATGAATGTTATTTAGGAATTACGTTGTAACCGAGTTTTTGAGTGGCTACGGTAATTACTAAGTTGGTGTACTAATTTGAATTACGTTTTTCAATCGAGTAGATTTGTTGCAACATAAAAATACGTGACGGGAATTAGAAGTCGGAGTTTCAAAGAAAAACTTAGGTGATTCTTTCCTTTGCTGGTTGAAGGCGTCAAGTATAATGTGCGCGCTTCGAGATTATTGTTGTGAAAGCGGTGTCTTTATGTATCGTTGGAAAAACGAGAATACGGAGGAGGCCTTAGGCTCTAACTTCCGTTGAAAGTTTCTGTCTGTAACGTGACGATGTGCGGTAAACTTGCGAGTTTTCTCTTTGAAATCCCTCGTCCGCGATTTTCTGTCCGAGAGAAATCACCTTAAGGATCATGGATAACCACCACAGGGAGCAATCCTGGTACGATTTTTATCAAGTATTCGAGTTTTTGTAAGGACGTATAAAAAGTAAGAAGGAATGATAACAGTCGCTCGAAAAACGTAATCGATCGCGAGTCGTCCATCTCTGCGCGTCCTCGGTTGATTTACTTACGATAACGTTTTCTTATCAGTGGCTGCAATTGAATAGTAACAAATGCGGTAGAAATTGTTCTTGCTGGTAACAAGGTGAAAACTTCACTCGCGCGGTTTTACGGGGTTAAATAATTTGGTTGTAACACTTAACGCTATATTCGCGGGCGTGTAGAATGCAAGATAAGCAAATATAAACTATTCAAATGTACCTGACAGTTATACAATCTGAAATCAATCAGATTAAAAGTTTTGTAAATCTAGTGTTAAATATTTTGATAATTATAACATTATTACGTGGTGACCCATTTATACTATACACTTCGAATGTTTAGATATTCATATATTTTTATGTAATATTTGATAAGAAATGGAACTGTTTAGTTACAATTTAAGGTGAAAAGTCATTTGTTTCATAAAAAACTTGCATGAAAATTGTATAAACACTTTATTGAAGTTTTTAGACTAGAATATTCCTCACGTTTATGTATCAAAAATATTTAAATAGTTAAGAAACGATTTGCGTTAATACTAAATACGATGTCACGCGTAGACGGAAAATTTTGAACTATAATTTGTTTAAAAAATGTAGCTTGTTCAATGTAAAAATATTATTTCCCTTATCTGATTTGTGTGCGCACGTTATTTCCAAAACTTTCAGATCACTCGTCTGGTTAGAAGAAAACGTAGAGTTTGATAAAAAAAATATTCGAACCTTTATACGTGTTTTAAATTAATACACAAAACTATTGAAAAATAATGAGACTGCTCTGATAAATCTATATTTCTTTAAATTATCAATATTTTATATCTGGTTTAACTATTTTATATTTTTTACCAAAATATCTTCCTTCTCTTTCAATAGATATTTCGCTATGAAAATCTAAATTTAATGAGAAC